GCACAACAAGGAAGGGGTCTAGACTAGTTTTCCAAGGCTTAGAAGGGACTAGGGCACACTTTGGCACCCTTAACAAGGTTTACGGTCCAAGAACATCTTGGACCGTAAACACCTTGATCTTGTGTTTCTTGGTTGTGTTTCTTGATGTTTAGAAGTGTAACAAGCTTTATAATACACTAGGGTAGGAGTACTTACTATCTGGAAGCTTGAAAAGGTGCTAAAAGTCTAAGAACACTAGTGTGTGTTCTTGGTGTTCTTGGTGAAACTTGAAGATCTACACTTTTGGAATGATTTCACGGATAGAATCATGTTAGATCACTATATTAGGGTAGATATCAACTTATTAGGGCTAGAAACACTTACAAGTTGAAGATCTTGAAGAAATGTTGGATGATACTTGAGAGAGAATTTGATTTTGGATCTTGAAAATGTGAAAAGTGGTAAAATATGACTAAGTGTCATATTTATACCCCCTTTTAGGGTTTACGGCCGTAAACACCCTTGTTTAGGCCGTAAACTCCAAACTCTTGGAGTTTTGGAATATTATTGTTGCACAATAAACCCTAGGGCATCCTCTCTCCTGATATCTCCTGAAGTACTAACTTAAAAACACTCAAACTTATTCCTAAAAACTTAAAAGTTAGCAGAAACAGTTCTGTCTTCCATTGAAGTGAATGGTTGTACAGAATAGAAATTTCGGGTTGTCACAATGTATCAACATGTTGCTAACGTGTTACGTGTTACTTAAAAAAAAAATTCTACATGTTTTCATTAATATATTTTTTTTTTTTGTTTTTTTATTAATATTGTAACCTTTTATTAATATCAAAGCAATAACTCTATATAAATAAATAAAATAAATATTTGAAGTGGAAGAAAACAAATAAAGTTGGTAACCACCGCCGGTGGGTAGATCAGAAGCGCTACGCATAATTAATTAACCCAGATACGCGTTCCGTCATTATATTCCTCCGCGGCAATAGCCTTTCCATGTGCATGACGGCGTCGGTGACCGCTTACCATCGCCATCACACTCTTCCCATTTTAAATATACATTACTTATTCTTCTATTGAATAATCTCAAATAAATTGCTTATTTTAATCACATCTAAGCAAAACTAACCCATAATCTATATAATAATAATTTTTCTAGACACAGCCCTTTTTTTTTTTTTTTTCATATAAGTTAGTATTGTCTCGTATAGACCCGTATTTCCAAATAAAAAAAAATGATTTAATCGAAATAAGTGTCTCAAGTACTATTTTTACCCAAGGCTTTGATACTTCGGGTCTTTTAACTGAAATACGTAAATCCATAATATTAGTACCCACTCTACAATCGGCGTGGTTAATAATGCATGTAAGTATGATGATATTAAGCTATGCAAGTTCTCACAACACTCGATACCTGCTTCCGCTTATTATTTAGGGTGAGTCACTCAAGTCCCCTGTCACTCGTCCCTCTTTTACGTTTATGAAAAATACCGGACTTTATGTTTTTTTCGGAAACTAAACTAAAGTAGCTCGTCAACCTAAAAACAGAGGACTTCCCTCACTACAAAATGTGAGAGGGGGAAGGGGGAGTAGGGCTCGAAGCCGAGCCGTGCAAGGTCGTTGGGATATAGTAAGTAAGCATATTTAATATCAATATTTTTCTTCTATTTTTTATATTATTCCTTAAGTATCATAAGTTTGATCCTTTAGAATTGGATTCATTTTTTGATTAAGCGTACGAAATAAATCAGATTGATTAAAATCACTGTGTGAAATATTCGATTTTTTCATCTTACTCTACCCCATAGATACAGTGTGAGTGTGAATCTGATCTATAAAAATAGATCTTAGGCGGAAATAGAGCTCTTTGAAATTGAAAGCAGTATTCCCCCTTATATATAGCCCAACAACATCATTGGTTTATTAATTCACCAAGTACTTTAAGTGCTAGGTGATACGCAGTTCCTAATTATCCAGTATCTCCAGGAGGCTTGAGACTAAATATTTGTTGTGTAGCGACAAATAGAGACCAAAGTATTTTGTCAGTGATTCTAACTTTCATTTAGTCTGATTATGATCAGTTATCTTTGTAATTACGGTCTTTGTTGGCCGGGACGAACACTCTCTTTTCTTTGTAAAATTCCGTCTTACTAGGTTTTGAAAAAGACTTTTCATGTCATTCCCATTTAGGTGCGATTTGGATCCCTCCGTTGTTTTCTTTTCCTTCCGCACCTACCTCTCTCATGTTATTGTTGTGATGAATCGGTGGAATGACTTTGTTTTTATTCCTTTTACATATTTTTTTCCTTGATCTTATAAAATTTTGTTCCCTCGGTAGAAACTTGGCGATTGATTTTTCTCGTGACTTTGGAACGTTTTAATGTGAGTCGTAAACCGATGATACGGTTTACCGTTAATGATTATGGCACTATTCATGAAGCCCGTAAGAAACTAACATGGCGTGGTCACTCCTCAAATTTTGATGTTAATAAAAATGTTTAAAATTAAAGAATTTATAATTAATCATAAATTGGCTTGGTTATGGTAAAGGTGATCCATGAATATAATGAATATGGTATCCGAATTCCGTATTTTAAAATTAATTTTTTAGAGTAGAATGCTTTAGAAATGTGTAACGAAGTGTTAACGTGTTATCATTAATTTATCACCGGTTATTTGCAATCTGTAAAAGTTATTGAATCATCTTATCAAAAAGTATTTTGAAAATATTAAAACCAATAATATTCATGACTTCATGTGTTATGAACCCTAACGCCTGGATGTAGGCCCTCACCTAGAGAGAATAGCTCATATTCCCACGCACGAAACAGCCAATAAAGGTCCATTCTTTGGTAATCAGACCAAATTACCCCTACCCTTTGTACACAATACCGTCCCAGGTATGGGTATTTTGGGTAATGTATAAAATAGTTTATTTTATATTTATTATTATTTATTATTTGTACAGATAATTTGTTTGACGTTCTTCTTTCTCATGTGATCCACCTTTTCTGTGCTGTGCTACTTTAATTTTTAATATTTTTACATATAAACCACACGTATATATATAAAAAAAACCACATGTATATAAACCATATATATAGCATTCAATAGTTCATATCATACTATCATTGGTATTTACTTCCAAAGCTTGAAAGCATACATATAAGAAAGCTAAAAAAGAAACCATATTCAAAAGCTTGCAAAAATCAAATGGCAACAAGAAGTCTCGAGATTCTTAAGGCAATTGGGGTTCGGGGAGGAGTTGTTTCACGAACAGTTGAAGATGGTGGGGTGGTAAGAATGAAGATATTGGTGAAAAGGCAAGAAATGGAGCAAGTTCTTGAACAAGTTATGAAGAAAAGAGATGACAACAAAGAGAATCATATTAAAGTGAATAATCTTCGACAGTTATCAAGATCATTGGCATCAAAGTCATTAGAACCACAACTGGATGATACGAAGAAAATGAACATAGTGAAATCTGATCAGGTGAACAGAGATTGTCGGAGTTATTGGAGACCTGCACTTCAAAGCATCCCGGAGGAGTTCTGATCATTAATTCTAGGGTTTCTTTTCTTTCATCCTAATTTAGTTTATTCTTAATTTTAGGGTAGATCGTTGCATCGAAAAAGGTAATATCGTCATTTGTTTATCAAATTATGTGTATCCATTTCCATAATCGGTGTGTATTTTTATCATTTTCATGGATTTTAAATAACTTTTGGAAAACAACCCATGGGGTTTTCATTTAGAATCATTTGCATGGTTTTTACTTGTTTTGAAGTTATAAGATGTCCCCAAATAGTAGACTGGTTATTGGGAAGTTATAAATTGGTAATCATGAAGTCGATTCTCCTTTGATGGTTTCGAAGTCTAATCTGTAGGAGTAATGAATGAGAAAGGTGGTGTTTCTTTGATCCCATCGATCTCAACATACCAATCAATGACCTTGAGACTTTGTACAACCCTGTTCTTGGGTTGTTACTAATTGTTATATCTACAAATTATGTGTCTTTTAGCAATCACATTGCACATTTGGTACAAAACGTTATGTTTGATACGAAAAAACCATGATGATAAATTTCGGGCAATTCTATACGTACCCTCAAATTGCTTCTGAGTACCCTTTTGTGAGTGGAATAGTTGGTGAATGAATAACATTTTTATATTAAACTCTAAAAGATCTATGTTTTGTTATGACAAGTTTTGTAGCAACGACTGTAAGGATATAACACTTTTAACATATGTATCATCGTAAAGCTAATCATTTAAAAGGGATGTGGTTCACACATGCAATACACTAACGTTTACAAGAAATTTAATCAGAACTTTGATATGCTTTGAATTTTCCATGCGATCTCATCTCATTAGCATACCATTTAAATAATGTTACAACGGTAGATACAATTGGACTAGGCTAATACTTTCGTAATTCTCAGCCACTCATTTATTTTTGTCGTAAAAGCGTCCGTCGTAACAACGAAAATGGGAAAGGAATACACATGTGTTTTCCAACAAAATATGTTTTCTTAAAAGGCTATTTCCATAAAAGACTGTATATTCTAACTTTTTTTCTTTTTAGACCTAATTTTTTTTTCCGAATTAAAAATACTCAACTTTTATGTGTTATTTGTTATTTCAGACCCTAGTAGGTCAACAATAGGTAAATTATGTATTTTTGTTTCATAAAAGACCCTATATTTTGTAGTTGTTTCCATTCTAGACCTAAAATGTTTTTTTTTTTCAAAATAAACTCAACTTTAAAATTGATTATAATCTTCAAGACCAAATATATAAGGTACTTCTTGACCAAACCAAAAAAGAAAGTATACATGTATACACTAAAAAAATGTTATCTTATCTATTATCTTTTGAGCGAATATAACATAAAAGAATTGCAAAATTTTATTTTTGTCTAAAAGATATAATTAAACTTTATCTTGGATATATATTATATCATTAAACTTGATATATTGTTTATAGAAATGTTATTATTACCGCTAATAAAAAACTTAATGTTAATTTGATATTTTTTGGTAACATGGATAATACATGGCTAAGAATAATCTTTTAGCATAATAGCAAATTTTTTTATTTGTAGAAAAAAATACCATATAATTTAACAAACTGTATACAAAATAATTTTTTTAGTTTGTCTA